GAGAAGACATATATACCCTCATATTTAAATAAAAAAAGCTAAACAATTAATTGCAACCATAGTCCCAATTTTTCAAAAATTGCAAACGAGTCCCCAATAAATTATTTAAAAAATTATTTTTTTAAAAAAAAGTGCAAACGAATCTCAATTAAATTTATTTTAAAATTTAAAAAATAAAAAGTACAAATGAGTCCCAAATAAATTATTAAAGAATTAGAAATTAAAAAAAATTATTATTTTTATTTAAATATGAGGGTATATTCATTACTTCACAATTCTTTATTGAAAAATTGGATGGCAATGCTGGTTTGTGCAATCAAATGTGTAATTAAGGGTGAAAATGCCAAAAAAATGAAAGGTATGAAAGTTTTTCGCAATAAATGTGAGAGGTAGGGACATTATATACTAATTACCATTTTAATAATTTATTTGGGAAGCATTTGTGCTTTTTAAAAAAATTTGGGACTATGGTTACAATTACTTTTTCTTTTTATTTTATTTAAAGAAAAATAATATATTCGTTATTTCATAATTTTTAATTGAGAAAATAAATGAAAAAAATATTTTGCGCAATGAAATGTGAAAATAATAGTGAAAATGTCAAAAAAATGAAAAATATGGACGTTTTTCACAATAACAATGAAATGTTGAGACATTATGTGCTAATTACCCATATGTTAATCAGTTAAACTTAGAGTTAGTTAGAAAGATAAGAGAATAAGTTAAAAATTTACCCCCTTTAAAATTACCTTTAGATAGTGAATATAAAATAATAGAAACTGATTGATGTGAATTAGGATTGTGAGGGATTTTATATTCTAAACCAAATAAATATAGTAATGGAAAGGAAGAAAAAAATTGTAGATATATAAGTAAAAAATATAAGATAAAATGAAAATATTTGACTAGTTTAGATTATGAAATAATGATTTTATACATAGTATAGAAAATTTTAAGTTATTTTTAAATATTGAATTTATTATCAAAACAAATTGTGAAGCCATAGTAAAGTTTATTTAAAAAATACAAATTTTGATAAAACAATACATAAAATTGGCTAAAATTGAATGAATATTGAATAGTTATAAAATCAATATAAAACACGTAGACGAGAAAAAAATAATATTTTAACAGATAATTTAAGTAGACAAATTATTTTCATTATGCAGATGGATCAGAAGACGATGAAATTTGGGATTGTCAATCTAAAAGTGGCCCCATAAGGATCTAATCTCTGATTCAAATGAAATAATTTAGAAAGATTTCCAAAAAGGGAGTATTGTCTACTAGATAATCTTTAAATGACACATGACTCTAAACAAAAATTAGACAACATTAATGCTCTAACTAATCATTTTAGACAAATTCACAATCGATTAGAAAGTAGAAATTTTAGTTTCTTTGCGATAATCAATTATAGAAAGCCTGATATATATAATTATTGGCTAGAGGTATTATAACAAATAGAAAAATTTGTCGTATCACGTGAACCAACGTGCCTTTTGAATAAAATCAATTTCAAAACTAAAAGAGTACTCAAAACGTCAAAAGCATAGGGAAAGAGGACTTCTGACAAATTGACATGACCGTTTTTCTTTTTGGTTGTTTCTTCATACAAATTTGAGATTTTATGTTTTTTTTTTTACTTCACCCGTTTTTAGAAGCTTCGCAAACAGTAAGGGATTTTAGATATTAAAAGAAGTTTTAAATTTCTGTAGAAAAATGATGGATTTTAATTTTTATATAGTTGAAAGAGTTAGAGAGACTATAACTACGTAAACTTTCCCTTCTCAACCGTCCTCTTCATTATCGTCAATACAATTTTGTGATAGTTGTGAAACTATGACTAAAGTTGTTGAAAATCTGAATCGTAGAAAACATTCATTAGAATAAAGATTATAAATTCTTGAAAATGAAATGTCTTCATCTCAACAGACTATTAGTAGATATCAAAATGAAAATTTTCAATTACAAGACAGTTTAGAAAGAATTAGTTCTAAAAATATTGTTGAAAGTCTCATCTCCAAAGACATTGCTTTTATAAGTAGAAATTTTTCTGACAGAATATAAATATTTATTGAATTAACAGATTTTACATCTGTAGGGCAAGAAAAGATTTTATATAAATTAAAATAGAAAATTGACGATTGTGCTACTATTGTTTGAAATTATATAAAGAAATTAGTTGTACAAGAGATAATTGATTTTTTTTTTCCAAATTCTAAGCTACTGCCACAATGAGAATGTGTATTTTCTTAAATATGATATACGAATCATCTATTAAAATTTCAGCTTTATTTAAACACAATTATCCTATAATTTCTTTTAATTATACAATTTTTGAAGAAGAAGACATTTTTCACACAGTTTTACAGTTTGACATGGACACTATATTTATTCAAAACATATCTTTTAGATTCTTCACACCTAAACTTAAAAAGACTCTTGATCAGTTAAAAGATCACCCTTTAATGATCTAATTCATTTCCAAACCACCTCTTGTAAATAATGGTATAATAATACCAGCTTATCATATATTATAATATATGAAGAAACCAAAAGATTTAAACCATTTTCAAAGACAAACACCTAAAAAAAAATTAGAAATATTGATTACGAAAGACGGATTTCAGAGCCAACGACGATGATGGAAATTTAAAATAATGATTCCAGACTTATAGCGCAATTGAACAATTGAGTTATTTTCTGTCAAGAACATCTTGCTATAACAGTTAAAAATAGAAGAATTGCCGCCCCAAATATTCAGCAAAAAGAATTATATATGATGGCTTTTCAAGAGACAAATGGTGATTTATCAGAAAATCAATCAGATACAGAGGAGAAAGAAGAATACATATCCGGTGGCAAAACTAATTAAACGGACGCAAACTTGGAGAAAGCCTACATAGAGATGATGGACAAATAGTACAATAATTCAAAAAGAAAGGACATAAAGATAAATGAATCACCATTATTGAGAGCAATGACAATTACTAAAGTCAAAAAGGAAGAGCATAGAACCGAATGAATCTTTATTATGTCCATACAGCTATAAAGTTAATATCCATACATTTAATTGTAAATCATACACATGTAAAGAAATACAGTATTTTTTACTTCTTTGAAAGAAGTTGATGTGATGTACCGGTATCCAGTTCTCCATAAAAGCCTAAGACTTTTCACACAAGAACACACGCCGAAAAATATAGAGCACACAATAACACTTGTACTCAAAAATCTCTCGCAATCGTTGTAAATTAAAAGATAAAGTAATCTTCTAAGTTAAGTTGACCGTATTTTATCTCGATTAATGGAGTTTGTTTTAGTCTTTTTAAATATGATGAAGATTTTTTAGTATAGTCTTAAATCTTTCTTAGAATGTCAAAAAAAAAAAAACTAAGAGAGAATTAAAAAAAATCGAAGAAATTAATTTGCAGAACGGTAAAGTACTTTGAGGTCATTGGAAAAATATTTTTTTCAAGTCTTTATATTTTATGTCACTAGATATACTTCATCTACTTTGCTTCGTTGTTTATTAGAAAGTTCTAATTAATTTATTAATATTTTTTTAGAAAATCAAGAAATTGGTAGAATAGTTGTTATAAAAAGCCATATATTATCCGCTTTAGATAGAAATAGAGGTGACTCCCCTTTACAGACCAAGAGGCAAATCACTAAGCGTTCTATCTCAGTTTCGGAACTTCTTGATAGAAGATCCTAAAGACTGTAAGAAAAGACATAAACAAATAAAAATTGCAAGAGAAGATAAAAATAATAGCAACATAATAAAAAGAAAGACAAAATTTTTCTCTTATAACTAGATCCCTCAAATTGGTATTATATATATATAGCACTCTCAAACTTTTCCCTATTATTAACCTCCATATATTTGAACATGCATCTTATTAAATTCATTCATTTGTACCCTATATACCAACTAAGTTACAAACATTTTATCATTAAAAAATCCTAACATGTACATTATACCTTAAAACAAATCACAAACATGGCAAGAATATTACATTCTTAATTAAATTAAGAAACATAATTACGAAGTAAATTCATTTTTTATTAATATATAAAAAATAATATTGGGAGGTCTATGTTAATTTTTCCCTGGGTTTAAAATCCCCCCTCTCGCTTGCAACTGTTCCTCCGGGTTCATCTCGTGTTTTAGCATGCGTATTTAGAGAGGGAGAGAAATCAAAGAAACTAGAATAGACAGAGCATCGCATAACCTTGTTTCGAGAGAGAGAGAGAAATTCCCTTTCGAAGTTTGTGAGGTATGGATTTCAATTATATTTTGGTTTGCATAACCATTACCAGAATCCATCATCATCTAGAACGTTAGAAGCATTTAATGAGGATAAATATTAGTGAATAAATTTAAAACGAGGCATTTTATTTGATTTTATTATCTATTTATTTAAATTTACATAAGATTAAAATATATATTTTTTCATAAAAGTGAATAGATGTACAAGAATGGTGAATGAAATTAGCGACTTCCAAAAATTAACAAATTACAATATTTATATAAAGACCAGAATATTTAAATTCTTGTTTAAACATTGAGTAAACAAGAATTTGTTAAGACACAATCTTAACCATTGTTTGCCTCTTGTTTATAATCTATTTATAATTAGCCAAATCACTTTTTATCCACATATTTCATGAAATTTACAAATATTACACTTATTTCATATATTTATAATTTAATCTGCTTATGAACAACTTCAAACATGCTTTAATTGCTAAATGAATATTAAATTTTATAACGTTTTTATACTATAAAATATTAAAACTAAATTTGATTTGAAAAAGGACCTATTAATTTATAGTTTTATTTGTTACAATCATCCGAATATATTCTGTGTCATTTGATAGTATTTATTTTGCCAAACAAGGAAGCTAAGATAGTCATTACTTGTGTCAAGTCTGTCTTCTAATTCGAGAGATGGCACTCATGTTACCTCAGAGTTACTTTACCTCTATAATCTCTATGAAGTGACAGGTTTTCCATTTAATTTGGGGAAAGGATCTTGCTTGCTTAAAACCACCACTTTACTCTTGTGAGCAAAATACCCCTTCATCAGATTCTTGTATATTAGAATCGAAACTATGCACTCCACCTGCACAAACACCCAACACACCTATTAACGTATGGAAACAAGAGAGAAATCCTCAACTAGAGATGCTCAAGCCAGATACTACAAAACAACTAAGCCTTGTTTACTCAAGCAGTGGGAATATGAAAATTTACCTCATCAACATCCATATCCATCTCAAGCCATTTTAATGCCTTAACAATAACTTCTAACTTGATCTGGTGGGCTTTATTTGGATCTTTCTGTTTTTGGATGATGTATCTACAATATGAAACGAATGGGGTAATACGATGAGTTCTTTCTTTTAAATTAATGAGGCTGTATGACATGGGAACTTACATTTTCTTTATCAGTCGTTGGTAAACTTGGAGCTCTAACTTCTCTAGGACAAGATAAACACCAGATCTTAAGAACCTGATGAAGTGGAGGGTTCAATATTAAGAAAGATGGTAGTGTTATAACTGATTGTATAAGAGGAAGAAACCACAAATACCTGTCTTCATGTTCTTCAAGGGCATGTCTTAGAAGTCGCAGATCGCCTCTTTTAAGAGCTAGCACAACATTGTTGTACTACAAAAGAACAAAATGATAAAATGTAGTGTGTTATACAGCAGTGGTAAAAGATCATACGAAAATTTTACTATAAGATATGATCTATGATTGTTCACTGGATAATAGTTTCTGATAAATCGCATAATTATAGACTAAAGGAATATTAATTAGCAATGTTTGCTTTAGTGATGTCTTTCTTTAGTTGCTTTGCTACTAAATGATTTCATTAGAAATTCAAAATAATAAAAATCGAAAACCATGTTCTTAGAGAGAAGAGAGGGGGAGCGGGATGGTGAGGAAACTGAAAACTACCAGATACACATCAAATTTTCAAACATATTAAGTGACCCTGTAAGGTGCTCTTACTTAATACAATATTGTAATATTGTACGAAAAACTAAAGAGAGTCAACTGACAGGTCATACCTCAGTTAAGTTAAACTTGTCAAGAAGTGAATTCCTTGGTAAGATGCCTATTGAGAGCTTCACAGGTATCAGATATTTCAGAATCATCCTATCAAACGTGAACAAAAAGTTAGTACCATGAGTATGCATAGGCTCAGCATTACTCTTTACCTCTACATCAAATATTTGGAAACACCAGAGCAAACTTTAGCAGCCAAGATTCAGAAATAGACAAATTTGACAATAATCAGTGGATTTAAAAATAGGCAAATTTGACAATAATCAACAGCATGTAACATGGAATAACGTATCTAGGATAGTTCCAAAAATTTAAAAGAATGGAGCAGGATATGATCATTAACGATATCACGAATCTCTCCCCATCATATTCCACGAAGATATATTCATTAAAAATGTCAGTTAGCATTTCCCAATCATAAGGACATAAATAAAACAAAATTAAACCCTTTCCGATTTCAGATCCTACTAATGAACATTTCAATGACTTGTTAGCATAAAAGGAAAGCTCCAAAAGCAACTGATGTATGCACTAAATAAACAAGAAACAAACTAAACGAATTGGCCACTTCTCTTTATAATATCCTGGTCTGGATTCAGGTATTCAAAAGATATTAGACAAAAAAATAAAAGCACAACCTAAACAGACCTTATATTTGCTTCTTTCAGAGGACTGCAATGAGTTAACGCATAAGATAATTTATGGTCAGCAGCTGGAAAGTTCTCATTATACACCTCCAAACGACCAGTGTAATACATGTAGGTGACCTTATCCCTGGCAGGAAACTCCTCAAAGTCGAAAATCCTAGCTGTTTCAATGCTTCTTATCACACTGCGACATAGGTGGACAGTGCCCAGTTTGAAATAAATTTTAAATAGCTGGCACGTTACATATAAAGCTCCAACACGTTTTGGTCCTTTTCCAGCAAGAACACCAAACACTTTCATGAGGAAAGAGCCAGCACCTTTCAGTTTCTCTGGTGATTTACCTATGGAAGCCAACTCTTTATCCGCCTTCAATTACAACAACATAAATCAGTTCATTTCATGCCAGTTTCTGTGTGACGTTACACATGCACTTGCACTTGGAAAACGTATTCATAAGGAAACTGCGGGGGAAACATATGTAACTCTTACCTGCTCAGCAAGAATCCTAATTTCATACGCAATCACACATAAGGCTTCCAAAGCCCAAGCCGATTCCCAATTTCGGAATTCTTGAACAAAAGCACTGTAATTCTCCACCATTAGGGCTTATATTATTTGGAAAAATTCACGTGCAGCAAATTCAATCTAAAAATACATACTTGGCAGCTTTTTCAAAGGCCAGGTAAGACTCAACCAAATTTCTTAGTCGATAACTCTGCAAAGCACGAAATACAGGAACTAGAATGTCTGCATACTGAGAGCTCTCAGATTGTCTAATAATTCTGTTAGCATCCTGTTGATATGAATAGCAAAGTCAAGGAAAATGCCAAACTTATAATATTACACATGAGATATATATTTTAATGATGTGTATACAGTATACCTTTTTATCCCCAACAAGTCAACTTCTTTAGTGATAAAATTGCTTGGAAAAAAAAAATTTAAAGAATATGAATGAATAGAGATCTCTGTCCTCACAAAGTGTAATAAGGAAAGTTTGCACAATACAGTATCAAATTGTCATGGTAATAGCTACATTGAACTAAAGAGATTATATTTACACGAGTAATTGTAGTTCTAAAAGACTGATATAAGTCATATAACAAAAGTAAGGAGTAGAAATATGATAGGAAACTCTTAGTTGATCTAAGACTGATTGTGGATAAGTAAGGCTTTCAAATGCATCCAAATATCCTATGGACCACAGGAATACCTATTGTGCTAGTGAAAAAGACTGGAATAATTTCACTCTAAAACTTGAAAAAGCCTAAATATGAGCGTAAGTGTTTATGAATGTGCATTTTCCTAAACTTATCCTTTCTTCTTTTTGCTTTGTTTTTCTAAATTATTTAATGAGCCAAAGCCAGCTGCAGGAAGAATTGAGGGTGCGAGATAATATGTCCCACTCTATGCCACATCTTCACTCTACTGATTTGTCATTTGTAACTCCCACAGAGTGGAGGATATGACGCATAGCTTGAATGGAACAATTTGACAAGGAACTGGGCAGCATATCCCAAGTCAGCTTTTTGTACTTAGTTGATTTGGATCAGGAACAAGTGAGAACATTATGCACCTGTGAGATAGCCAGGTTATGTAGAAGACCTTACCCTAAACTAAGTTTATAAAGTGCATGTACGCACGCATAAGAAAGGGGATTTATTTAGTAAACAGAAAGGAACTGCCAACGGAAAATAGCATCTATGTCCTGCCTTGATCATATTAAAAAGGGAAATTGCAACCTCCGTCCTCAACCCTTATACCCTTTCGCACTTCTGTTCCAACCTTTGCTTCTCAGCTTCATTGTCCTTGACTTTTCATTTTTTCGTGCCCCTGATTCCTAATAACAGAAACTGTCCAAAAATTCTATTTAACTTGGCATCTGGCCTCACATTATGAAAAAGGCAACAGTATTAAGGTCCAAACACTACATAATCTTGAGTAAGTAAAAAATAAAATTAAGAAAAGAAAAATTAGACAAAAAAGGAATCAAAAAGAAAAACAGTCATCTTCCTCAGATGCCCCACATACCTGCCAAGCCCTTCCATGACCACACTCCACCACTCCACACCCAACCGCCCCTGCAAAGGCCCCCTGCAGCCGCCCACTTTTCGCTGTGTATTATGCATCTTTCCTGGGTTGGATTGATGCCTAAGAGCATGGGTTTGATTGCTTACCCACATTACTCTTTCATTTCATTTTTTTCTTGTTGAAATCATTTACAATTAATGGACAAAAGTCTCAATTTCGAAGATCATAATGTTATCCATCTTTCACCAATATAGGGCATGACTTTCTACTCAATTCCACCTTTCAACTCATACCTTTAATTACTAGAATCAATCCATACTTCTAACCCGAAGAATTTTTCACAAGCCCATACTACCACATACCCGGGAAATGTAAAGGGGTAGGAAATCACAAGCCCATTCATTATATATTTTGTTCTTGTGGAAAAGATTGAACCGTTATCCAGTAAAACTACTAGTTGTATGAAAATGACAGCACAGACAGAATATAGAACAGAAAAGCAACAATTGTTTATTTTTCTATATAACGTAAAACATATTGTGCTATGGTTGGCTTGACAATTGCTCCTACTACACTGGTGTATTCTGGGATGGGAAATCGCAGCTGACATGTAATTATCACACGCACTTTGAGCAGAAGTTGTAAGGAGAGATATTCAATTTGCTAATAATTAACTATTTTTTCTTGTTCTCAAAGCATCAAGATTGACACCCGATAATTAACTAACGAGTATACACAAGAGCCCCTCACATAATACCTAGAATCAAATTCAAAGACCTAAATTTTCTAGAGATATAGAAGAGTGAAAGAAGGAATGAATACCTGGAAGGTGTTGAGGGCGTCGGCGAGGAATTGAAGGGAGGAGGAATCGGAGGTGATGGAGAGAAGGCGGCTGAGAGATTTTCCGTCCTGAGATGAAACGGCGTCGGAGAATCGGTTTAGGTACTCGGTGATTCGCCGGTGGGCTTCTCCCATGCTCATATACGCCGCCATTGTTGCCGCTGCGCCACTGTAGATCTGTCCGAGTATCAGTAGCTGCTTTGTAAGACGAAGTGGTAATACGGCGTCGTATCCCATAAAGCCTATTTCCCGAACCGGGTCCAGTGAAATTTGCGGTGGGATTTGGTGAGTAAAAATTAAATCAAGTCAATAATTAATTTTTTATATAGTCTATTAAAATCATATTTTTAATAGATTTTAAGTCTCGTTTGCACCTATTTTTTTCTCATTTTTATTTTTTTTCTCTTTTTTCATTTCAACCACACATTCTATTAATAAAAGGGGAATTTTCAAAAATGTCACTAAATTTGAAAATCCAAAAAAAATTGTCACTTTCACTTTTTGTTTGCAAAAATGTCACTTTTTTGGTGCAAAATGTCCAAAATATCCTTGTTACCACCTTTTTAGGAGCAATAAATGTTTGATTTGAGTGTAATTAATGTTGTGATGTGATGATTTAGTTTAAATATTAAAAAAATTGTTTATAGTATATTATATTGAGTAATATGAGTTTTCTTAAAAAGAAAAAAAGAGAAAAGAATTAGAAATATTAACATAATCAAACATTCTTCTTCTCCACTATCAAACCCTAACATTTTCTTCATCTTCTTCATTCTTCCTTGCTCAAGAACACATTATTCATCATCAATATTTCGAGGTAAGTCATTACAAATTATTTATAACTTTATAAATTCATGTTATAGATTACTATTTCTCAAATGTTTAAATAAAATATCTTCAAATGCAATGGGAGGTATATTTGAAACTATATTCATTTGTTTGATTTTGGAAATATTTGTGAAAAAGATTCAATCATCAATATCCTTTACATAAATGAAGGATTCCATAATTAATGAAGCATTGAACTGTTTATTAATGAGAAGATGCTTTCATGTGGTAGTTGAAAATTGATTATCACCATTAATGTTTTCAAAAAT